TTCCCTGATTTTGGGGAATTTTTGAGTTAAATTGTAGAGATCACCTGGAGTCCAGGGTGCATGCACGGTTACTATATTTTGTCCATCGGTGCCAATGCCTGGCATTTGTCTTAGGGGGTAAACTTGTGCAGCTCGGGATCTAAGATTGATGGGAGATCTTTCCATGCCTATTCCCATTCTTCTAAATACACCTGTGGTGGGTTGTGACCCAGGAGTAAATTGCCACACTGGTGATGATTGAGTGGCAGATATGGTGGATGAGTCCAGACTATTAAGCTCCGTGGATGGATTTACTGAAGGAGCTTCAGCTAATGAGTTACTAGCCTGGGCTGCAGCCTGATGTTGAACCGGTTGTTGCTGATGTGGGAGTCCCAGGAGAGCAGGGTTCGAACAAAGGTCAAGGATATCCTCTGCTGGCTCCGGTGGTGGGGGCGCCCCGGGCAATGCTGGATACATCGGAGCGGTGGCCGGCGTGTAATTTGGGGGAGCAGCCAATTTCTCCCGAACAGCTTGTAACTGCTGTTTTAATTTTTCTTGAGAGTCTTTTAGGCTCCTAGTTTGAGATTCTGTCCGCCTTTTGGACATTTCATCATACCAATAAAAGAACGCGTCCCACTGGTTTTGTGGTGTTTTGGATCCACGGGACTCTAAAGCCCCTCTTAAGTGCACTATTTTATCCTGATCAAATGTTCCTTCTTGTGGAAAATGCTTCACAGGATCATCCCTAGTATACCAGTTCCACTTATCCAGGTACTTGCAAGCCTCGGGAGAATAGTGTGTGTACATAAAGTACGCCGGAGTCCCCTTAGGGGGGACGGGAACTTGTTTAGACTGACTCGTTCCCATTTTCAGTCACACAGGGAGACGTAGGAGAGGCTTATTTAGGATGTCCGGGCCGCTCAGTGCCTTGCCCCGCAGTTTTTCACTGCCCAGACAAAAGGCTTCTGACCCGACACCGGCTCATAAAATGGAAATGGGAAGGGAAACACAAGAGGAATCCTTTCACTCCTGCTCTCGGCAGAAGCTACTGGGACAAGGGGTTTGGAAAAGACAAAATCACTCAGACGCCCTGTCCACTGGGTCACGAGGTTTCAGCTGGGCCCCCTTGCTTTCGACGCTACCTTTTTTAGGCAGAATCGGGGCGGCTAGACCCAGCCTTAGTCCCAGACCTGGTCAGTGGCTCATTTTTCTAAATGCACACACACACATTTATTCAATCACTGGGAAGCCCTGTCCACTGGGTCACGAGGTTCCAGTTGGGCCCCCTTGCTTTCAAAACTGCCCTGTCAGGCAGAATTGGGGCGGCTGAACCCAACCGTAGTCTCAGACCTGGTCAGTGGCTCATATTTCTAAATACACACACATGCACATTCATTCAGTCAGCCAGACCTCCTCCCCCACACCGCCTTAGTTAATTAACGACAAGCCCGATGTGCTGTAGGATGAAGGTGCTTCATACAGTTTCTCCCTAAATAAAACGTACGTTACCAGACACAAAATGGGATCCTTTACCAGACAGAAAATTTTAGCCGGCAGTAAGGTTCAGACTGACCTGTTTTAACAAGGTTTAGATCCAGTTATCACGGCCAAGTTGGGAGCCTACAGGCAGTCCTCCTCCGAAACCCCAATAGAGATTTTGAATTAGGTCTCTTACCTCTCAAGTTTGGCGCCTCGGGGTTCGGGGGGGGCAGTCTGCGGTTCTCCTTTTTCAGCCTGTGTTCTGGATCCGAGTCACGGCACCAGGAATTGTCGTGGAAACACACGCAGCATACTTTTGGGTCAGGTCAGCAGAAGCTTTTATTTAAAAGAAACTACAGCTGTAGGGGGGACTCCAAAGTGACATGGATCTCCCAAGCACTTGGAAGGGGTCCCCCCCCAAGAGCAAAATCAGGAGGCTTATATACTTTTTAACAGTTGCTTACAACTCACGTGATCATATAGTGAAATTAGCATGAAAAGCGGCTATAACATTACTTCATTATTTCTTTGCTGTAATCAGGATGGGAACTAATGGGGGAGGCGAGGTTAGTTCACAAACCTCCTTTTTGCACCTGCAAATCAGAGTTGTACATACTTTTTGCTATCTTCAAGGCCGCGGTGAGCGAAGCAGTTGCAGAGGAGTTATAAAGAACAAACACTTTCTCTTATCTGTTCTACTATACAGAGCCAGCAATTCTCCACAAAGCGGTTATGTCATCTTATAACTAAAATAGTCAAAGTTTAAGGCGCATATTTTTTCTGATTCCACACAAGCATAATAAATGCCACCTGCCAGCAGCTTTTACAGTCTATCTCATAAGAGCTCACATGGTAAAGTACCTCTATATGCATTGGGATGAGATTGTAATGACTCAATGCTTGGGTGTCAGTTTCTATATAGTGGAAGAATTTTTCTTTCTAAGCAGGAGGTGCAGAGGAAATTTTCACAAAGGCTGTTAATGTTGAAGAGCTGAAGGACTATCCTTAATTCACCCTCCCCAACTAGCACAGCACAGATGGCATCTGCGAGCTCTGCTGAAGCTAAACGCAATCATTTTGAGTTAGGGTCAGAGCTTCCTGGTTGCGATCTCATAGCTTTTGGCCTGTGTACAAAGCTTATGGCATATCAGCCTCCCCTGTACATAGAGCCTTCTGGCACTGAGTGCTTCACAGGCCGTTTCTGCACCTTCTCCTGCTGGAACACCTAGCTAGGGCTTGTTTTTGTATTTGTCTGTATGATAGCAGACTGAACAGCGTGAGGCTGAATCAATGTCTTCGACTGTCTTCTTTTCAGTATCGTGTATGCATGCAGTGCTGTTTCGAGTGTTCAGATTTGCCCCAAGCTCTTTGTTTGGGACTAGCTGAAAATCTGTATTTAAGTTGATGTTAGACCCTGACAAGCAAAAGAAAAGGCACAGAAGCTCACTCCTGTTAGGGTTTGTCCCTCACTCCTTAGAAAATGTCAGGTACTCTTGATGCAGTGCTAGCTGGCCACACAGCCCTTTCTGTTTAAGGTTAACATGGTGAATGCTTGATAGCTGGCATCTTAAAACAGTGCAAGGCCTTTTCACTTATGTTAAGCTAAAACATGTCTGTCTATCAAGAAAGGTCTTACACTTATTTTAATGTTCCTGTGCAGTGTTAATTTTAAAAATTCAGTGAGTGCTCAGTCCATAATATGGTTGGAGGTTTGTATACTGAATCCCCTTCTCAGATAGTAGTCAGACCCCCTTCTTAAAGCTTATGTACTGTCTTGCTGGTTCGCCATTGCCTCTGGCAGGTAGAGAGGACAGTAGATTGAGATTTACAGTAGTTACATTTAAAGGATTAATGCTGTACAGACATAGAACTGGTTCGTGAGTTGCTGTGGGGATTTTGTACTAGAGTAGCCAAGCAATTACTTAGAACAAAATGGCTGAGAAAAGGTAGCCTTTAAAAAAAGGCATTTACCACAGATCCTTCTAGCTTAGAGTCTTTCAAAGTATAAGAGTTTTTAAAGCATAAAAAAGATGAAACTTTCTAGGAAAGACTGTCACTTTTCTACACTAAGTTTAAAGTGTATTGACCAGTAAAATTCAACCTTTGTGCATATGTTCAGTCCTTGTGCCTTTGTTTCTTCCCACAACAGCAGGAGTTGCACAGCATTAATCTAAAATTCAAAGCTCGTTGAATATTGTGGTTTGTCTCCTACCATTCTGTGTGGGTTTTTTAAAATGAGTTGAGACTTTAATGACTTTGTTTAGGTTAAGAACAAAACAGGTGCCACTATGTAAAATGGTATCTTCACTCATGTGATGCGACTCAGGATAGTATACTCTCTGTTTTGGATTCAGCTTAAATACACATTTTTCTTTAAAAAGGTCATCGTTTCTAGAATTGAGAGGAACTCTCACCCTTTCCAGACAAGTCAAGTCAATGTAATGTTAATGCTTTTTGTCAGCTGCACAACCTGTTAATTCAAAGTTATTTTTATGAAGCATGGGTATAAATTTTATTCATTAAATATATCTGAAAACTATGTTGTTTGCTTTTTTTCCTCCTGTCTGTTTGAACCCATTTAGAATTTCCCTGTCAAGAAACATGTTGATGCTGGTAATCAGAGAATGAACCATCAAGGAGTAGGGCTTGGCCATGTTTGTAAATGTTCTGAACAATGCACACGCACTGCACAACTTTTGGCGCATCCAAAAGCAATGTTCTTTACCCTTTGCGTCTGAGGATCAATGCTGTCTCTGAAATGGATGATTTAGCAGCAGACAGACAGTGAACTCCACAGGCCCCCAATCCAACTTCTCCCTCTCAAATAGATAAGTTTACATGGAGAACCTAAACAGCTTCCTACTCTCACAGGACAAGATTTCACTAAATTTGGCTGGCTTGGCTCTTAATTTTTTTTTTTTTAAAGTGGCTATACTGGCCACTAGATCAAGAGGACCTTGGGCACTATGAGGCTTGTATTTTGGACAGCCAGTAAAATCCATGGCTTTTGAGAGAGGCAAAACATTCCCAAGAACAGGATCCTGAAAAGGCAGCATGCCGAGTGGGAACAGCCTGGCCTGGCCTGGCCTGTAAGGGAAACTGATATAGTCCATGGAGCAGTGACTGGAACCCAGGTCTCCATCCAAGAAGGGAGCCACATCCACTACTTCCACTGTGAGAAAACTGGGCTTTTGTTTTCCTTTGAAAGAACAGCTGCAGGTGACTACTGTCAGGGAGGACCTCCTTGCTGCCCTGACTAGTGCCAAAGCCCTGGAGAAGAGTGCACGGCCTTTCCAATTGGCAGCTTCCTGGTCTCTGGGATTCTCTCCCCCTTCTGAGACCTCAGCTCTGAGTTTTGGGTTTCACTTTAGTGCAAGGAGCCTGGCACTTAACTAGCCTGCACCATCTGCCTTCAATGAGCTCTAGCCCCAGGGTGTGTTGGTAGGAACTGGGACATGCTCATCGCGCTACGTCAAACTCAGTGAGATCTATTTTTTTCCCCCAGAAGAAAAGTACTGCTGTCTGGAAATATTTAACCTGAAATTACTTTATTACAAAATATACTGATACAATGTGTAAGGTGTTCAGAGAAGAACACTGTATATTTACAAATTTGTACTAGGGCTGGCCATGTTCCAATCACATTTGAATTAAAGATTAAATAGCGGAGATATGAATGCTTAAAGCTTCTGCTATTACGTTGCAAGGAACGCTGGTTTCCACAACTGATATTGGCTGAAACATCTGAAGGAGACCATAATGTAACACACTGCCTCACAATAACCAACCTGAGTTATAAAAAGGGGGGAAAAACATGTCCTGTTGCATAAGGAAGCTTCAGGCAGTTGTGCAAGATGTGGCTTAGAATGGAGCTGTAGAGAATCAAGCCAACACTGTCAAGTCTTCTTTGGCTGTAGGCATCTGTGCAGGTTTTCTTAAAGGTTACTGTGACAGCTTCTTCTCCAATATTTGCTTCACCAGAATGGGATCAGCTCGCCTTTGTGTTGCTCTTTGAACCAGGCCTATCAGTTTATTCAGAACTTTTTTGTTTCCTGCCTTTATCTCCATAACCTTGAAATCAGAAGCACAAGCAGCTTTTAGAAGAAGCCCAACGATCTTCAGACATTTAGGATGCATGCGAGTATTATCTTAATACCAGCTTAGCTTAACATCTACAATTTACAAATTTAGCCCCCAACAAGCTGTGCATGGTTGGAATTCTTTGCATGTTTGAAGCCTCGCTCCACTGGACCAGCACAGATCAGGCGATGATCAAGGCTTCTGAACTGTTGCTTTTAAGCCTACTGCAAATAAAACGTTTCTGCTTATATCTAAACATTGCAACCCAATGCAAAGAGTGCCTTACTAGAGGAAAAAAGCAACTAAATGGCCTTCTCCACAAAAGTTATAACAACCTACACAAACCTTTTGAAAAGTATTTATGTTTAAACTCTTGCACTCATTCATCAGAAATGCACTGCATTTGGGTGAAGAGAGAATTAAAAACCAAGTATCTTCACCCACTGCCCCACTTGTTAATGGATTCTACATCTCAGAAAGATGCTGTAGTTCAACCACTAGTCACTGGCCTCTATAACTTTTCTCATGTGATTAAGAAGAATCACTGCACTGTAGGAATTATTGGATAAGATTCCATGGCCTAAATTATACAGTATGTCCAGACTACATAGCAGTCCTTTTTGCCCTTAAAATCTAACGTGTGAACTAACTACCAACTGCAACAGTTTCATAGACATTAGGACTGGAAGGGACTGGAAGATCATCAAGTCCAGCCCCCTGCCCCAGGGGCAGGAAGTCAGCTGGGGTCACAGGATCCCAGCAACATAAACCTACAAATGTCTCTTAAAGGAGTCCAGAGTAGGTGTTTGCACCACCTCTGGTGGCAGTCTGTTCCAGGCCTTGGGGGGCTTAGACAGTACAGAAGTTCCAGTTGCTTGCATGAATGCAAATACTCCCTATTGTATCTGAATTTTAGACTGTCTTAAACCTTGTCCATAATCCCATTATGGAAAGGACTCATTGCTACCATTATCTGCTTGCAAATACCTAAATTAGATAGTTCAGGAGGGTCTAAGTATTGCATTCTTTCATAAATTGCTTCATATTTGAGGATTAGTTTACTTTAAATAACAAGTTACTATGAAAAAGCAAGGCATATTTTCTCTTGCAATAGCCCAGCTAACTGTTTTATATTATAAGTTCTCATGGGAATTTAAAGTATAGAACTACAAGTTTAAATGTGTCTTTGCTTTAGTAAAAGATCACTTGAAAATAATTTGGAAGCAAAGCAGCTTTATCATGTGTGGCTTGGATAAAAAAAACAAAAAACCCTGGAAGCTGAGGGAAGAATTAAATTTTCACAAAATACATTATTATTGAAATAGGAATCTGGTTGCGGACCTTCAGCTTTTGTGTTCCCTGATCAGTTCTAATGCTCAATCTGCCTGCACTTGTGAGTCTGAAAATACAGAGGCACTTTTATCAGGCACTGCAAATGAGTCAGTCTGATGGAGGTCATGCAGACCTACTGCAAGCTCATTTTCTTTATCAAAAGCTCTTTGCAAAGCTGTTAGCATCCCCCAATGAGATCTGGTGGTAGGTGGTATTGTTCTCAAAAGATGTTAGCATTTCTTCCAACAGCAAATGTATCTAGACAACGTTTATAGTTA